CACATACCAGTCAGTACACACTATGTAGCCAAATGTTTTTGGACACTGCCCCATATATCACAATCAGACTCCAGTCTGTTAACGCTCTGTAGCCAAAGGTTTTTGGACACTGCTCTTGTTTAATGATCACACAACACAGTCAATACACAGTCTGTAGCCAAAAGTTTTTGGACACTGCTCTTGTATCACGAGCATACATTACACAATACAGTCATTAAACACACTAGCCAAATGTTTTTGGACACATATCATGACCATACATCACAGTGCGTATACACTCTGTAGCCCATAGTTTTTAGACTCTGCTCTTATATCATGATCATACAGCACAGTCAGTATTCACTATGTGGCCAAAAGTTTTTGGACACTGCTCAACAGCCTTGCAACACCTTAGCAACCACCTGTATCTGTATTAAGCATCATTCTAATTTTTAGCTTTTTTATTATTTTATGTTTCAGTTTTTTTTATTTGCAAGCACTGATATTTTCCTCAGGAATTGCATATCTAGTTTTTTGTTTTTATTGCTGTGCATTAGAGTTTATATGTGTGAATTTGTGTGAATTCTTTAAGCTTTCTTCCATTCAATTCCTATGGGAAACATTTTGTCTTTGAACAAACGCTGTACGAAATCTTAAATCCACCAATACCTTAAATCTACTGGTACCTTAAATCCACTGATACCTTAAATCCTCTGATATGGTATATCCACTGGTATCTTAAAGCTATTAGTACCTTAAATTCTCTGGCCCCTTATACCCACTGGTACCTTATATCCCTGGTAGCTTATATTTACTGGTTCCTTTAAAACCACTGAAATCTTAAATACACTGGTACCTTAAATACACTAATATCTTAAATCCAATTAAACCTTAAATACACTTGTACCTTACATCCACTGATACCATAAATTCATTATGTTTTGCTATTATTGCTGTGCATTAGTGTTTATGTTTGTGCATTGTTTAATGAGTGTCTATGTGAGATTGCATTGTGACATAATATGTGGTAGAATTCTTGGAACATTCCGCCATTCATTTCCTACGTTTCCAACATTTCCAACATTTTTTTTGTCTTTGAATGAATGCTATTATTGTAATTCAAATTGCAAATCAGGTCCTTTGGCATGCACATTCATTGAAATCTACACCAAGCAACACTGGAACTATGAAAAATGAAAAGATTCAAAAACGGCTGTGTGTATTCACCCTAAACAGTACAAGAAGAAATTATTAGCACAATTGTTTGCTGTGATTGTTTACTCAGAAATAATGTATTTGACAAAATCTCAGTTGTGCCTTTCAATCTTGGTATTGCATGACACGTAAAATAAATAAATAAAATTAGCATTACTGCATTGCAGTGATGTTACAGAGTGAAGGTTTCTAGTGCTTGACGTTTGAACCAGTGAGGGAACAAATTACAATGACAGTACTCTACTATCTCGCCTCTCCCTCTCCAGACCTTCACTCCACAGTAACTTCATGACGTAATGTGACATTTTAAGTCAGAGCACTGGTTAAGAAAAGCGCATTGTAGCAATAATTCTAGGCTGGAGCATCTGAATATTCAGGACTTAAGCCCCGAAGATGCAGCCCTAACTAAATAAAATACTGATTGTTGATAAAGAAACTCAGAGAAAAATGATTTATGAGAAACTTGGTTCTTTAGCTTCATATACCAAACCTGAAGTACGAAACCTGAATGTGATCTTAGACTCTGAGCTCTGTTTTATCCCGCATGTAAACACAGTCACTAAAGTAGCTTTCTATCATTTGAGAAATATCGCTAAAGATCGGCCTTTTCTCTCTCAGAGTGATGCAGAGAAACTGGTTCATGCATTTGTTACAAGCAGACTTGACTACTGTAATGCTCTTCTTACTGGACTTCCAAAGAAAACTATACGTCCCTTACAACTTGTACAAAAACAAAACAGAGAGATCATATCACTCCTGTTTTAAAAGAACTGCACTGGCTACCTGTATCATTCAGGATAGATTTTAAAGTTCTGCTATTAGTTTTTAAAGCTCAAAATGACCTAGCACCTGCTTACATCACAGAGTGTCTGCCTGTTTATGTTCCGGCACATAATTTAAGATCTGCAGATAGTGGCCTGTTTCTTCTCCCAAATACAGCTAAATGCTAGTGTATTAAGTGTGCTCTATATGGCAAAAATATATCATGATACCTCAAGACATTTTCATGATACATGATATGCATCACAATTTTTATTTTTTCTGAGATTTAATAAGTTGGAACAGACAGAACCTGTAGTGCCACATATAAAATACTACAATAATGATAATGATAAAACTGCATTGAATTTATTCAATGTCTTGCAAATAGCAGTGCACTAAATCCAATTAAACATGATAAATTATGCACTATGTAATGAAGCATGTAGTTAGTTTTTTGTGTAGTTAGTGTTTTTTTTAGTGATATCCATAATATGCTTTAGAAAAGTGTATTGAGACACTATCATAATAACGATAAAATATCACATTTCCTACCACTACAGTGTATCATACATTAATATGAATACATATTTTATCCACATAGAAGGCCATAGCGGTGAAATATTGTCATGTTGGCCACCCCTACAGTGTATCATAGAGAAGTATGACTACATATTTCATCCACTTATAGCCTATTGTGTCCACTATTGAGCTTCTCTTAGCTGTATTTGCCAGGTATCTGTATGGGGTATTTCATCTGGGGGAATATGTTTCTCCTAAAAACTGTTTTAACAACAACAGAACCAGTAATAATATGTTTGTGTTAGTCAGTAAAGCAATATTTATTATGAACATAGCTGTACTTAATGACGGTAATCAGAAGCTATCATGCTACTTTATTTATCCATTTTGCATGTCACATAATGCTGAGATTGACACATTATTTCAGAGGAAACAATAAACAATTGTGTACTAAATACTTTTTGTACTGTTCGGCGCCAGTAGGGTGACTAAAATGGCTGTATAATCGTTTTTGAATCTTTTTGCTTTCCGTAGTTCCAGTGTCACTCGGCATTGATTTCTGTTCAGTGAACACTTCGGAATCAGATGCAGCACCATATGTCGGACTGGTATAAGCAACTTAATCAGGTATAGGATCTACTAGAAAACTGTGGGAGATACATCTTATATTTTGTGTTGTAAATAAAAAAAGGAATGCAGGAAACATTGCACGTAATGCCATTTTATTAAACAGGCAGCAAGAGAAAACAGCCGCCCAGCGATCTCAATGGCTGGGATAGCAGGCAGCTCTTTTCAAGAACCTCCCGCACTCCCATGGAAGAGCAAGTTGTATGTGTTTTGTGCCAAAAGTTTCAAATGATATAATAAAATCTACAAGCAAAATTTATTAGAATGTTCAAAATATGTTGCAAATACAAATAATGAAAGTTAAATGAAACTTCATTTTAAAAAGATTCCTACTCATTTTCTGTCAGTCTGATGTATTTTTTACTTATTTTGCCAGGTTTTGCTTACATTTTTTTCTATTTGCTTATATTGCTAATATATTTTTTGCTTCTGGAATCACTCTTTTGCTTTGAAATGTTTTGCTTCTGACTTGTGGCACTTTTTTAGCAAGGAGTGGGTCTTAGCAGACGGCGTTCACCTGCACTCTTTATTGGTTAACTGGTTAACTGAAGACACAAGTCTTCTAAACACATAGCCACGTCCACTCTGAGAGCCATGATCTGCCTCGAACATGGCGGAGCGCTTCGTAACGACTCTGGAATTGCCGGAGAGGATTACGCAGATGTCCAACATTGTGAGCAAAGTTTGTCATATTTTTTAATGCAACACATGCTCAGGATCTTGTGTCAAGCTGTGTAAAATACAAGTTTGGAAAATTCAAGTATATTAGGAAAACTTAGTTTGCTGAATGAAGTTGTACCATCTTTGAAGTTTTCTAACGCTAGCTAACAAGCCTAGCAGTGTTCACTAAAGGGCTAACAAGATGAACTTTGCAGCAATTTAAAGCTGTCTCAGCACACCAGTTAACAAAATGTTGTTGTCTTCACATTAATACAGTGGGCTAAAAGTTTTATTACCAGGATGGCTCGCCTAGTTAGCCCTAGAGGACACTGCTAAAAGTTTTATTACCAGGATGGCTCGCCTAGTTAGCCCTAGAGTTTTATTGCTAAAAATTATTAGTTTTATTGCTAAAAATTTTATTAGCCCTAGAGGACACTGCTAAAAGTTTTATTACCAGGATGGCTCGCCTAGTTAGCCCTAGAGGACACTGCTAGGCTAGCTAGTTGAAAGGTGGTACAGCTTTGTTCATTCATAACTCAGTTTGTGTTCTTCAGTGCTCAAAATAAGTTATATCCCTTAAGACATGTCGACACAGGACCTATAAACATGTGTTTCATTAATAATTTAAAACGAATATGACAAACATTGATCATAATGTCCGATATGCCAGTACAACGCCAATACCCAATATGACAAGTTCTGCCCTCTTGGGCCGGTTCATGCTGGGTGTTTATGTGTTCAGAAGACCTGTCATTTAAAATCATTTGACCAATAGAGAGTGCAGGTGAACGTCCTCTTCTAAGACCTACCCCCTGTTAAAAATGACAAAAGTCAGAGACAAAAGAAAGATTTGAGAAGCAAAAGCTGGTAAAGTGAGTAATACATTTGACAACAGTGTGAAAGAAAATGAGTAGTAATATTTTTGAAAAATGAAGTTTTGATATTTTTGACATTTTGATACCCATAATTTTGCTTGTGGAATTTAATATTTTTATTTTTTATCAACTTTTGGCACAAAATTAACTCCATAGAGCCAGTAGCAGAATGCTGCAATAGTAATACCACAAAAATTATGAAGAACAGCAAGGTGGCTTTGAGAAGCCAAATGAAGTACAGTATAAAATCGTACAGACCTGTTCATTACAGTCACATCAGTACTGTGATTGTGAATTGCTTATGTGCACGGGGCGTCACATTTTGTGAACTCCATTTCCCAGAAGCCATTGCGTCGATTTCCGGGGCTGCGCTGTTGGACTCAGAACACGCTGTAGAAAACATGGCGGAGGAGCACGAGATAAACGAGGCAGAAATAAATGCTATAAATGAAGAAAAAGCAGAAAACAGCAATGAAGAGGAAACAGCAGAAAACACGCACAGCTTCAAAGAGTTGGTAAAAAGATTTAAAGATAAAAAATATAGAAAAGCTACTGTTGTTTATAAAACTTAAGTACATAGCTGGTCTTTGAATGTTTCACTTTCTGCTGAGCTGAGTTTATTATTTTATTTATATAAGCTTATTCATATGAGTATGTTAGTAAGTTTTAGTAATGTCATTTGATTCCAGGGTGTTTGCTAGCTATATGTTTCACATTGTGATATCTGTCTGTCTGTGTCTCTGTCGGGTCCCTCATGTCTCCGTGTTAAAGTAACAACAGATCAACAGGTTTCATGTATATTGGAATGTTTTACTGTATTTTTGTAACATTCAGTAAACTCCCTGTTATGTCTCTTCTCTTGCGGAGAACGTTTGTGTAGGCTAAGATGCTGTCATCATTAGGCGTTATTGTAACGAACAGTGTGTGTTGTAGGGAGTTACAGAAGTGCTGTGTGAAGCGTGTGACCAACTGGGCTGGAAGCGGCCGACTAAAATCCAGGTAGAGGCCATTCCTGTGGCTCTGGAAGGTGAGTGCTGCTGCTGTAGGTCCTAAATAAATGAAAACAGGAAGTGTTTCCGGCACTTTTATTCTCTAGTACGGCAGATTAGCGGAATTTGTGTCAGGTCGAAAGCGGCTCAAATCCATTTTTCCTTAATGTGATGCAAGTCCGACGTATTCAGAACTGTGTGGACACACAAATCTAATCTTGTTCTGTTAGATCTGAGCCACTTTCCTATGTGATCCTAGATCAGATATAATGTAACTCTTATTGCCAAATATTTGTGTCTACTGCACATGCATGTTTTACTGTCATCATCCCACATTAGCAGCATGGAAGAAGTCGCTAACATGAAGTTGTATATCTTATGAAGGCTTGTGCTGCTTGCTTGTTGATTATTTGTATTTGTTGGATAATTCAGGTGACACCGTTGTGTGCATGCAGGATGTGTGCATGTGGGCCATTTCAGGTCACAGGTTGATTCACAGTAAAGACAGATATGAGTTATTTACACATACAAATGTGAATTATCAAGGCAGTAAGATCTGATCTGAGCAAAAATTTAAATTAAGCAGTGAGACCTATAATGTAATGTAGTCTTTGTTGCTCATATTTTATTTCATCTTTAATTTGTGTTTTTTTTGTTTTTTTTTTTCTCTCTCTCTCTCTCACTGCTGCACTCTCCCTCAGGACATGATGTGATTGGATTGGCTGAGACAGGTTCAGGTAAGACAGGAGCATTTGCATTGCCAGTCCTGCAGTCCCTGCTGTCCCACACGCAGCGTCTCCACACACTTGTTCTTACGCCCACACGTGAGCTTGCCTTCCAGATAGGAGAGCAGTTTGAGGCTTTGGGTTCCAGCATCGGAGTCAAAACAGGTACACACATAGCTTCTTTTCTCATGCTGCTTTGACAGACATTTGCACTCACTCAGTTAACATCTTCAACTCCAGTCCTGGAGAACCAGTGACCAGCAGTTTGGTGATTTCCTTGCTCAAACAAGCCTGATTGAACTCATTGGTTAACTGCCAAGTTTAAGAGGTGTTTCTTAAATAGAAGGTTAACATCAGCATTTGTTCTGCATTTGCATATTGTCCTTTATTCTGTATGTAGTCTGTATTGTTTTGGATGCTGTCAGTATTGTTCTAGACATGATCTGTAGTGTGTGTGGGCCATTATTGCCTCCTTAGATTGAAGTTTTTGCGGTTGTGTGCTGTATCCAGCTTGAAAAATCTTTGGTCTGAACCCAAACATAGCCCAAGAATTTTCTGACTGCGGCTGTAGAAACACCAGATGTGACCAAAGATTACTTCAGCGCATCAGGAAAAAAAAGTTGAATGTGAAATTTTAGCCGTACCGGAGCCCAGCAAATATTAGAGAAAATATAGCCGCAAGCGGCAATGAGCGGGTCCAAGCACGCATAAGCACAAGAAGCTCTCATGCACTTTGAGCCAAATAGGCCTAATCAGGCCTCATGCAGTTTGGGCCTTCGAGGCATAGAGGCTGAAATGAAGTCTGAGTTTATCAAAAGGCCTACGCTTGTCATGAACCATTTAACTTTCAACATATGTTTACATTTCTATGGACAGATCTACAAAGGTTTGTAGAACATGCAAAAGATTATCAACAAAGATGTCAAAAATACATGAGTAATGATAAAATATCTGTCATAGTTGTGTTTGCAAGGGGTTTTGTTTCTCCATGTTTAAGGCTTTGATAATCGGGCCATAATTAGACCCAGTGCACTCATAAGGGGCCCTTTTGGCACAGAGGAGCTCACTGAAAGTGGTTTAGAATTGGTCAAAAGGTCTCCACATGTTATGATAATTGATCAGGGAACTTGATCAAAGCTGTTCACTGAGTTATGTTCAGATTGACCTTTTGACCTTAGTATAATAAGCTGTAATTGTTGAAGGAATAGTTCAAAATACTACACAAGAAGTGAAATATTTGACATAACATGTAATTACAAAGTTATTCAGGTCAGTGAACTGAATCAAATGGCACCATGTGTTTATCTGTAGACTTTGTAATAACACTGTAATAGCATCTTTAATGATTTTTGAGGTTTTTGACAGCTAAGGCACCCTCTAAAGGTCATATCTGGACCAAATTTTGCACACCTTGTCTGAGTCTCAATTTTTGTAAGTGCTCAAAGTTTTGAGATGATACAACCAAAGACTGATGAGTTATAGCAAATCAAGCTGGCTATGCCATGGCCGCAGTGATGTATTGATGGAGCAACACCAGGTCGAGTGAAAAAGTCAATATTTTTTTGATAATTATTTACCTAGACATGCCACAGAGTATTTCTAGACCAAATTCGAGACGTTTGGATCAAAACTCAGAGACTAGTTCGAAAAGCATGGTTTTCAAACATGGTTTACAAAAAAACTATGCATTTTTATAATAAACATGCAATGGTAAAATTGTTTGGCATACTGTACTACATAAGATTCATACAGAGCATGGGTCAAAAATAGTAATAATATGTTCATATCATGTAATAATATATGATTTTCTATGAATAGCGCCCCCCCAGTGGCCAAATCTGTTGAAACTTCACTGGTTGTTAGAAAGGGGCTACATGTAGACACCATTCAAGTTTCGTCATGATTGGTCAATGTTAAGCCTGTCAAAAGCCTGCTGAATGCTGATTGGCTGATGGCGGCCATAAATTTCAATGAATCAAATTATCCTTCAAGATTCACGTATAGTCTGTCTAGTAGATGCTACATGCCAAGTTTCAGCTCAATCGGATGCACGGATGCTGAGAAACAGTTAATTGGCAATTGCCCCGCCCCCTAATGACGTATGCCCACCAAAATTGATATGCTACCCCAGAATCTTGTCCTAAATGTGCATGTCAAGTTTCAATGTTTAAGGCAGAAGCATTCTCCACTTATAGAGTTTTAAATGAATTATGAGCTATTTCGGAAGGGTTCATTAGCATATGGCAGCCATATTGTTTATAAAAGTCAACATTTTTTTGATAATTATTGAGGTTCAGACTCTTCTGAATTTTTTGATACCAGACACATGAGGATTGAGTGAAAACCCTAGAACTAGTTCGCAAAAGTAAGTTTTGCATATTATGCAAATTAGCAAAAAATCTAAGTGGGCGGAGCTGAATGGTCCAAATTGCAAAGTTGTTTGGCTTGACCCAAGGAATCAGGCAAAAAAAGAATTTTGTCTCCACACATCATGACGTAGAAGTTATAAGGCAAAACGTGTTTTGATGCTCTATAGTGCCCCCCTTTGGCCAATCGGGGTCATTTTTGTTGCCTGGCGAGATGCACACAAACTACATCGACCCACCAAGTTTGGTGTCTCTAGGCCTTATGGTCTGTTCTCCACAACATGCTTTTCAGGAGAAGAAGAAAAATCCGAGCAAAAGCAATAGGGTCCTACGCACTGCGTGCTTGGACCCTAAAAATCCTAGCAAAAGCAATAGGGTCCTACGCACGGCGTGCTTGGACCCTAATAATGTGTGTGAATGATGTGAATAGTTGGGATCTGTTAGGTTCATACACATAGACTGTGCTCATAATTTCACAGTCTGTCATTTCATCATAACTTATTCATACACATTACCTACTCAAGAAACACCTCTTAAACTTAGCAGGTAACAAATGAGTTGAATCTGGTTTATTTGAGCAAGGAAATCACTAAACTGCTGGTCACTGCTTCTCAAGGACTGGAGTTGAAGATCCCTGCACTAAACAACTTTTAGCCTGATTCTCAGTTTGGCCTAGTCTATGCTGGATGACTTTAGCGTACAGATTTTAGGGGTTGGAGTCAACAGTTGGGAGAGAAAAAGTAAATACAGCAAATAAAGAATTTAAGAGAAGACACTCACCTATGTAGTGAAAATTATTAATAAATTGAGTTAGCACAACCACAGTCAAGTGCATTTACGTCAGAAACTCTAAATCTACCCTATTGGCAATATCTTTACGTCCTCAAATCTCTTTAAAAAGACTTTAAAAGTTATGTTACGTGCACAAGGCTTTACTGGATGGGTTTTAATTCAGTAGAAATTTTGTTTGATCTGTTAGAGTATTTTATAACATGGTATGCAGTCAGTTGTGCTGCTTAGTTGTCAAACCTGTTTTTAAATGGAAATGTATGAAGTGGGAATTCTGACTTTGTGTGTATCTTCTTTCAGCTGTCATTGTAGGTGGAATTGACATGATGTCACAGGCACTCGTGCTGGCAAAAAAACCTCACATAGTGATTGGTGAGTATATGTGAGCAGTCAGATCTCTCTCTGGATGTAATGCGATTACTTAATTTTAGTAGAAAAGCACAGAATGTCAGATCTCTCTCTCTCTCTCTCTCTCTCTCTCTCTCTCTCTCTCTCCCTCCCTCCCTCCCTCTCTCTCTCTCTCTCTCTCTCTCCCTCCCTCCCTCCCTCTCTCTCTCTCTCTCTCTCTCCCTCTCTCCCTCCCTCCCTCCCTCTCTCTCTCTCTCTCTCTCTCTCCCTCCCTCCCTCCCTCTCTCTCTCTCTCTCTCTCTCTCTCCCTCCCTCCCTCCCTCCCTCTCAGCAACGCCTGGTAGGTTGGTAGATCACCTGGAGAACACCAAAGGATTTAATCTGAGAGCACTGAAGTTCTTGGTCATGGATGAAGCTGACAGAATCCTCAACATGGACTTTGAGTCAGAGGTAAAATCAATGTCAATCTCGGACAATATGCTTTTCTTGCTGCAGTCAACATTATGAATAAATAAATGATGCATCTAAAAGTTGTTTTATTGTAACCTGTTTGTCTGTATAAATCTGGAAGTTTCCAAATTGAAATGTTTGCTGTTCTGTTTCTGTGCACTGTGGTAGTGTTTGTGTCTGAGAAACACACAGAAGCCTCCAATAACACTGAATTTTGAACTTAATGTCTCTCTGTCAGGTGGATAAGATTTTGAAGGTTATTCCCAGAGACCGACGCACATTCCTTTTTTCTGCCACAATGACTAAAAAGGTATGAGTCTTCCCAAACGCAAACATTTATATATTCACTCTGCCTCATTTGTAACTGGAATGTTATTTTTTGGAAATTAAGCCAATATGTCACAGTAGAATTCCGCTGGACTCCACAACACAGTGGAATTCTCAGGGTTTGTACACATTTGAAAAGCCTGCAGAAGTTATGGAATATAGAAATTGGGTTTTCCAGGCCTAATAATTGTTGGAAAAATCATGGAATTTCCTGGACTTTCCCCCCATGCTGTTTGTCATCTCATCACACCGCTGCTGTGACTAGCTTCTTCACTGTGAGAAAAGCTAGGTTTATACTTGACGCACTGGTGTGGGTGCACACATCAGAAATTATGCAGTCACGGCACCTCTGGCCCACGCCCTGTCGTATTTGAAGGGAGATTTGCTGAGCAGGTTTACCTCTACAGGTGCTTATATGATACCTTTATCATACCATATAATAGATATATAATATATAATATTTCAACAATAAAATTAAAAGGCTTTTAAAGACCCAGTGCGTGGAGTCAATACAACTTAAAAAATATAATTGCAGTTGATTGTGGTACACTTATGTTCCCTAACTAAAGGTACTGAAGTTGTACCCTTGGGACCCTTAACAGTTTAGTACCTTTTTATCTGAGAGTGTATTCTCTTAAGACAGAAGTGCTTAACCCTGCTTCTGGTGATCCACTATAGATCGTTTAGTTACAGCCCTATTCTAAAACACCTGATTTGGTTGAAGGCCTTCAGGAACATCTGAATATTAAGAGTGTGTGTTGTGTTGGAACTGTTGTGTTAGAACTAATCTCTCCTGTGTGGCAGATTACCACGACAAGCACCCCTTTTTATAGACTTCTGCTACAAAAAATAAACTAAACAAAGAACAGATTTAGGGGCACGTTCACCTACTCCTCCTGAGCCATTCTGAGTGCATCTGTAGACTGTAACATTACTAGAGAGCATGTAAGAGAGAGAAAATGTGTGAGTGCATAAAATGTATGTAAGCACAGTTCTTTAAATAAAAAATGTACCAAAAAATTTAATTAGAACATAGACAAAAATCAGCCCAAATCAAACCCAGCCCAAAACCTGATAAAATATGGCTTGGGTGGAGTAGCAGACCTAGTATTTCCCCATCATTCTCAGAAAAAGGGTGTGAAACTGTCACTGGGGCAGTACCTCTGATCACTAGGGTGGCATCCTCAAGGGTACATCTCAGTATCTTTTAGTCAGGGAACATATTTGCACTATAATCTATTCAAATTGTATTTTCTAAGTATTGACTCCACACACCCTGTCTCATCTCCAGGCTTTTTATTTTACAAATACATATATTCGGTTATTTGCCCCCAATCAGTAGTTTTGCGACATTTACAGCTGATCCAGTCATGGAAAGCTTTCCAACCCCTTTCGATGTCAATGTCCCAGCCTTTGTCACCCAACGCATCCAGTACCTTATGAGCAAGCTGCCTACTATCAGTTATGTTAAGTACTTGGCTTGCTATGGCAACAGCATCATTGGGGTGCAATAAGTAGAGGGTCCCTTTCTTTTGCATGAGATCAATAAAGTCAAGCTCCATTTCCCTAGGAGGTTTAAATTCCTTGGACAGCTTGTCCAAGGTGGCTGCATGTAAAGGAACATGATCAACTTCTACTCTGGTTTCCTTAACTTCACCTCCCTTATTAAGGACGTCAGAAGATCTAATAGTGATTGGTCTCATCTGAACTGCCTCATCACTAGTAGGTTCAGAATCCTCATCAGAGGAGGAGGTTTCTGACCCATCAGAGAGGATTGCATCCAATTTTGGATACAGCCTAGCCAACAGTGGAGGATCTTCATCCTCTGTGTAGCATGGCTGACCTGGGGGAGGGCCTACAGGTAGAGATTGGCACTGACGCTTTGACTTAGATTTACATTTGGCCTGTTGCTGTTCAACCTTGGTCAGTGATTGCTTAGGTTTTTTTTACATGTTTTCTGGGCATTCATGGCAGCTATTTTATGCTTTTTACATTCGCTGGTTAGCTCTAGGATCATTCCCTCAGTTTCCTCTAGCTTACCCTCCATGTATCTAAGCTTATACTTCCAGTACTGCTTTATTACAAAAAGACATTCCTTAACTGAATCATGGTTAATACCTTAACCCAAAGCTTTTTACATTCCCGAAAAGTCCATTCTCTATCAGCAGAAAACTTTTGAATAAAAAGTACTGAGTTTTCTTTTGCTCATGAATGTGTTTCCCTATTATGTCATCCATTACCTTTTCAAATGCAAATTCAGTCCATTCAGGCATTTCAGTTCCTCCCTTAACTAGTGTACTTTTTCTGAAGTTAAGAGGTTTCCAAGAGTCTTTCTCAAGATTCTGTAGTTTTTGGCATGTAGTACTCATGGTGAGGTAACAAGATAACAAGCTAAGGCAAAAACACAACCAATCTTCCCTCACTGCCTGAGTGGATAACCCATATAAACTACCAGCCTTCACGCTACAAGGTTTCCCTCACTACCTGAGAGGATTAGTTACAAAACCACTGGTCTTCCCAAATACCAGTCTTCCCTCGCTACCTGAGAGGATAACAGCCTTCCCTCACTACCTGAGAGGATAAGTTACAAGAAACGCTAGGCTTTTACCAGTGATAACGAGTAACATTCCCTCAGAACAGAGGGGTAACAGCCACAAAAAACACTAGGGATCTTTTTACCAGTGACAATAAGTAACCTTCCCTTAGAACAGAGTGGATAACAGCCACAAAAAAACGCTAGGTTTCTTTACCGGTGACTTCCCTTGTTTCAGAGAGGCTAACCTTTACTGACTCCTCTATCTTATAAAGCCAGAATTTCTCTTCAGTTTGAAATTGGCGTTTTTACTACCAAGTAGGTTTCAGTAAGCCAACCGGGTCACGGCACCAAGTTGTTAGAAATTCAGCAGGAAGAGTCAGGAGACTGGACCTTCAGCATTGACTGGAATTTTATTTCCACATATAGAGTATGGGTACAGCATGGTCAATCAACAGTCAATCAGCAGCATCAGGAGTCTAGTCTTAATCATGTGCATGCAGACAATCATGCATGGGCACAGCTTGGTCATCAGTGTGTCACCAGTCTAGTCTGGTCACCAGTCCAGTCTAGTCCAGTCTGGTCAGCAGTCCAGTCCAACAAGAATAATTTGGAAGGACCTTATATACATTGAACTAAGGGGGAGGAAGGAGGAGGAAAAGGAGTTTGAGGAGGGATAAGAAGGGGTTGTAGAAGGAGAATATGAATAGAGATGTAGGGGGTAGAGATAAGATTGTTATCAGCTTAAGGTCATGAGACAAAGGGTCATTTCAATACAAACAAAGGAGTGAGGGGGCAAGGTGAGAGTGTGACCAGTTTCACCTTTCTGCCATTTGCTTAAACTCTACAATGAACGTGGTTTAGACCTTAAGAAAATAACACAAGGGAAAATAACACGTTGAGAATATTTTCCCTCATTATGAATTGAATAAGCAATCATTTTCAAATTATAACCAATATACATACAAACAAAAACATTGCACGTCATCAGTTTGAGACAATGCAGTGGGGCATGCGGGTCTCTGTCTGCTTTAACCGAACCCTGATTCAGTTTGCTACTGGTGGGAACGCAGTCTATGATGATATGAGGAAACTCATCAACAAAGCTGTCTTTTCTTCTTATCTAGCAGCACATCGGCACTGTACCGTTAGCATAATCTGCCTTTTTTAATATCTTTCTTGACAGACCCTCATTTGCTCTCGTTTCTACAGCACGAGCTGCTGTAAAATAAAATAATAGTGAAGATCTGTGTTTAATTTTGGTTCATGGATAGGAGCGCATTTTTGGCCAAGGATCAGCGACACGAGTGGTTAAACCAATCCTAAAGAAGCAGATATAAAGTTTATCATTATTGTTGATTGATGCCAAAAGCCTTGTGAGTGGATTATGGGTTGGCTATTTCAAATGAATCACGAAACCCCTCAAAACTAAAGAGAAATAATCGAGACCGAAGTTATTGGAGTATTTTCAGTGAAAACGCAATGTACTGCAGCTCCAAATCACCGTCCACATCCACCTCATACGTTTCTGTTCTTTTTGCTTTTCCCCCTTTTTTAAACATCTGTGTAAATATATATATTTTTTTAAATAATTGAAAATTTTGGGTCCTGTGATTAAACCAAATTGGACAGTCAGCAAGAAAATTGTATTTAAAAAGTTAATTTTAGTTTTCCTGTGGGCCTCTATGCTTTGTACTTATAAGCAGGTGGGCCTTGGTTTGGAAAAGGTTGAGAACCCCTGTTCTAAAGCACGTCTGCATTTAATTCTGGTTCCATTCACTCAAGTTAAACTTAACGCAAGTAAGATAAGTAGACGAGGAAAAGCCATGTGGTAAAGCTAGCATTACAGTGCGTAGCAGAGAGAACTAACAGACAGCTTCCCAACAATCTTCTCTCTACTCTGTCTTTCTACTCTCTCTCACAAACAGAAAAGAACTGACTGTTAGGCCGTGACCGCTTCTTAAAGAAATGTGAACCCCAAATTCCCAACATATTGACAAGTGGTTTAATGTTAAATAATCATCTGTAATTCTCTGATAGTTCTTTTTCTAAAACAGTGATTTTCACCTTTTACACATTGCCATTGGTTTACTTATCATCGAAGATCTGATTGCATCGCTTAGTCACCCAGGCCAAGTGGACTTTTCGCAGCTACTAGTTGCCAGCTACCACCCTGGGGCTGTTGTAGTATCATTAAGTTATTAGTAAAATGCGTTATAGATGTGAATGCACTTAAACATTCTTTACACATTTATTTTAAAGATGTGTAACTGTTACTGATTTTAGAAGTCAATGAAAACATTTCATAGTGTTAATAGTTTCTTAAATCTAAAGAGTTTTTATATTGCACAACCTTTTTGTTTAAACACTACATACTTTTTGGATTGTCAGGTATATAAGATAGTCCAAACAAATACGCATTTGATTATAATGGCTGTTAACATCCAGCAAGGGGAGCTCTTGCATGTTTTGCTCATTGATAAACTAAACACCATTCTTTAATATCCTTTCTTTTGTTATTCCCTTTTCAGAAGTACAACAAAGATTTCAGTAAAACAAGACCACCCTGAAATAATATTTCAGATTGCAGACAATATTGAAATATTGACACTTTGAAAATAGATATTTTGCACAAATTTGAGCAAGTACCACTTACAAACACAGACTTTGGCCTAGCAGTTGCAATTGTAGAGGAAACACAGACCAATAATGCAGACTAGCCTTGAGCTTCTCTTTGTCTGTCGTGTGTGTTGTTTAGGTTCAAAAGTTGCAGAGAGCAGCTTTAAAAGACCCAGTGAAATGTGCTGTTTCCACCAAATATGCCACAGTGGACAAACTACAGCAGTATTACATTTTTATCCCAGCAAAATACAAGGTTAGACACATGCCTGCTAAAGCTTTGTTACAGTTTCATACTGAAGTTCATTTTGTTTCAGGTTTGTATCTCTGTTATAATATGCTGTCTGTCTCTCGCAGGACTGTTATCTTGTGTCTATCCTGAATGAGCTGGCAGGAAACTCCTTTATGGTTTTCTGCAGTACATGTAATAATGCCCAGCGGGTGGCACTGTTGCTCAGAAACCTGGGCATCACTGCCGTCCCGCTCCATGGGCAGATGAGTCAGGTAACTCCAAATAAACACACATAGACACACAACGCTGTGACTATTCTGGGTTATCATAATTCATTTGTTGAACTGTGTTATCAGGTTAAAAGTAAAATCTTTTTAAGTGTAGTTTTTTTGTATTCAAGACAGTATTCTGTACAACATCCACAAATTAAAATATTTGGTGACTGCATTCCTAATACAGTCATGAACTTGAGTGTGCAAGATAACCAACTGTACATCTCTGTAATGCAGTTCTACTTGTTTAGTTCAGTAATATGGTGTAAGCATTAAATATATAACACATATTGTTTGTGTGTGTGTGTGTGTGTGTGTGTGTGTGTGTGTGTGTGTGTGTGTGTGTGTGTGTATAGAATAAACGTCTGGGAGCTTTAAATAAGTTTAAGTCGAAATCCCGCTCTGTGCTGCTGGCCACTGATGTGGCATCCCGTGGGCTGGACATTCCTCATGTGGACTGTGTTATTAACTTCGATATTCCTACACACTCAAAGGTAAGATTACATGAACACTGTGTCTGTCATTGTCTGTCTCTTTCTTAAAGGTAAGGTTACACACAGTAGAAACACACTAGAAACTTGTACTTATTGCACTTCTTATTGGAGGAGAGAGATGGGGAAGAAAAACTCAGCAGCTTAGCTTATGTGAACGTTGGCAACTTTAGCAAATGCCTGGAACACCACAATCAGCAAGTAAAATGACAAGCAAACTACTCAAGCTACGATGCTGAGAGGTACTGGTCATCTTCTTAAGGTATTTTAGCAAACCTCAATGATTGCAATGTAGAGGATGGCACATATGCCAGTGAACTAATAATTACACTATGTGGACAAAAGTATTGGGATGCACCTACAGGAACATTTATAACATCCATTTTTAAATGCATAGGCAGTAATAAGGAGTTGGGACAGGAAAGGGTCTTCCCCAAACTGTTCCCACATGGTTGGAAGCATACAGATGTCCAAAATGTCTTGGTATGCTGAAGCATTAAGATTTCCTTTCACTGGATTTAAGGGGTCTAGGCCAACCCCTGAAACCCCACTTCTCCACCCAGCACCACCAGTCCATGGCGGAAAAAGCGGAGCCTGTGCAGTCTGCTTCCTGACGCAGGATACAATGATGTTTTGAGCAGAATAAGGTCCTTATAATAAGGTCCTAATAATTGTCTATTGTAATAATACCAGTGTTGGTTATAGTGGTGTATTTATATGTGGACATGACAAATATATGGGTTAATTGTAATATTCTTGTTTGTCTCAGGACTACATCCATCGTGTGGGCAGAACAGCACGAGCTGGACGGTCAGGGAAATCAATCACCTTTGTAACACAGTCAGTCACACTTCACTTACTCTGCAGATTCTGTCACCTTTATAAGTTATGTATCACTTCCTGTTCATATCCAACATCTTTCTGTTTAAATCTGTCACCTTTGCATCTTCTTCAAATGATTTTAGCCCATTTTTAAGGCTGATTTGGTGAGAGCCAACTGATTTTTCAGGATCTGCCCAAATTTTTATTTATTTATTTTTTTTTAATAATAGCATGAATGCGCACAGACTGGTTATAGAACAGTGGCAAAATACTCACAGAAAAAACAAAACAATACATTCTTTGTTGTACAGAGAATCGTGAATAAGTGTAAGTACTGCAAGTCTTAGTGTAATTGTCTCCTTAACATAGAGCTTATTTATGAAACAGAACATGATAGCATTTTATGGTTTAAGCATTGAACAGCACTTATACTGACTGCACTTTATGCCTTGCATAGGTATGATGTAGAGCTTTTCCAGCGTATTGAGGCTCTAATTGGGAAGAAACTTCCTGCCTTCCCAATCCAGGAAGAGGAAGTGATGATGCTGGTGGAGCGAGTGAGCGAAGCTCAAAGATTTGCTCGTATTGTATGTGTGCTTTTCAGGTTTCACACTTTCACATTTTACATTATTACACTTCATGTTTGTGAGCTTTGAGAGAAGTTTTAGTTGGGCTGGATGATGTGGCTAAAAAAATTACTGTGATGTACAGTGCTTTGCAAAAGTCTTGGCACATAAGCAAATTGTTTGAAACCATTTATCTGGACAATAACTGTGTGTGCTGTTAAACACCTTGGCACATAAGCAAATTGTTTGAAACCATTTATCTGGACAATAACTGTGTGTGCTGTTAAACACCATTTAACATTACAACAAATGCAGACAAACATTAATACACTAAAAAGTGAACATAATTTGCTCAGTTGCAAAAAGTAAATATAATTTGCTCAATCAAAAGGTGCCTGTTGCCACTTACTGTAGTAAGCAACTAGGAACAATTGTTGAAAGCATTTGCTTCTAATTCCAGATTATGGAACAGAACAGCAGAGGTTAATCAAAAATAGCTCAGTGTGCACCTGCAGTGTTTGACTTAGAATTATCCTTATTGTTTTATCTCCCAGACATAGCTTCTACTCTGGGGATTTGCAAGTTGCAGTTTGCCCCCAGTTTAGTGTGGTTGCTGGTCACTTTCAGGTTTTTTTGTTTTTTTTTGTTATTGTGTATTTAGGGATTGTTCTATCTGGGTTACATTTTCAGGCACTTTTTGGTGATTGATGGTATCTTCTCTTTCTGCAGGAAATGAAGGAGCAGGGGGAGAAGAGGAAAAGGCCAAGAGGAGGAGATGAAGATGGTGATGATGCCGAACAGTCCAGCGGCGTGAGGAAGAAAGTGAAAGGAGGAAGGTTCAGAGGAGGGAAAGGCGGTGGGTTTAGGAGAGGGCGCTAGAGCTACCTTTATTAGAGTGCTTTGTACATAAAACTTTAGTGATCATTTTCTGTGTCTGTGTCATGTGGAATAAATGTTGCCTTTACCCACCTTGCTGCCTCTACTGTGGTAATTTGGAGAAGTGTGACCGTTCCAGGAAATGGAAATGGAAATGAACATCTATTTGTCTGATCTCTATGGATTCTATCACAGTGAGAGATTTTCTGTGTCATTGTCAGTCTTACCTAGGGGTTAGCCACAGAGGTACACAGAGCATCTGATATTTATTGTACAAGAAGCTTTCCACAATTACAAGGATTCTTAGTAACTCTCCAGACATCTTTGTGCACACACCCTCATGCCCTGGTTTTTAGGTAGTCCAACAGGAAACAACTGTTTTTAGGCAATTGCCTGCTGTGCTCACTATGACAACAGTGAGCCTTCCTGAGTGAGACACAGTGGCTGGATTGAAAAAACTTTCAAAGTTTATGGCATCACATCTTTATAAGTCATTGACTTTAAAGCATAAGAGTCAAATAAGAGTGCTCTTTTTCTACAGTATTTTATGAATGGTGACAATTTCTTTGATTCACTAGTTCCACTGAGGGGAAATGATTAAATAAAATAAATTACCTCATATATGGGGGTGTCTTTGAGGCCAGAGGTACACAAGTTGTGACATACATGTAATTAGAGACAGACCTAAGCAGCATGGCACCAGATTTATCATTTTATCACAATTTTTTTTACACAATTTTATTGTTTGCAGTTTGCTCAGAAATTTGACAGAAACAGCTATTGACAACTGGAGACCTATTAGTTTGCTTGACTGTGTATAAACTGTTTGATATTGCATTTGCCAAAAGATATAAAAGAGTCATAGATTCAGCTAATGAAAGTATGAATTTAGAAACGGGCATCTTTAACAACAAAAGACTGGTGCCTGACTTTACACTGATCTTACGTCAAGTGATGTTTTTATATTTTTAGATTTGCACCCTTTATTTTTTTGTTTATTGTAATGGGATCAGAACACTGCACATGGAGGTAGGTTTCGTTTGCAAAGAGACAAGACAGGCAAGGTTGCCCAATTTCAGTTTACCTTTTACTTGTTACACAGTACTGCAGTAAGAACGGCAGATGTCAGAATTATTAGAGTAAGAAATAGTGGAAAGGTGTAATGCCTGACACGCTACCTTGATCATCTGAAGGATCGTGCTGGTTTTGTTTGCAACTTTATCTAGGATACTTTATCTGCTAAAGATTACTATAATGTCTTATGATAAATTGGAGATTTAACCTCTTAAATTCCTTGAGACCACCGGTGGTTCCAAAACGCACTTCGTCATATTCTTCATAACTTTCGTATTTCATAAGCTACATTCAAAAAGTGGGTGTCATATGAGAACTGTAACTATCTTCTTTCCAGTCAAATAGATGGGTAATGTAATTTTAAACCCTTATAATAGAAGAAGCTGAACTCATTTTTTTTGGTCTACTGAAAGTTGACCTATTTTTCCACAAATCTGGGCTATAAACTATAAACAGATGGTGTCTCTTTAATGATATACTCTGTAAAAATTATTTTTATAAAATAATACAAAGCATCTAAGATTTTTGGCTTTCAGCAGTAAATTGTAAGCATATAGCAATATGTGTATGATCATAAAACACATGTTCTGTTAATTTGAGGGGAGTTTTTACAAAAAAATAAATAAAATAAAAAATTACATTTATTTCATGCAGTTACTGAATAATTTGCCTTACAATTTGGTCATGTAAATTCAGATGGACAAACCATAATATACCCTGGAGAATAGGAGGTTAATAATTGGGGTGCCACTTGGCCCTGGTAACTCAAACTTTTTTTGCATCATTTTTCAAAACTGAATCCAAGAAAACATGCATTTAACAATTTTTTTTTACAAAGTTTCTTTGCTTTAAATGAGTAACAGAGTTCAAATTTTTGATGTGAAATAGGACTGTCATCTCTTATTTTTTTCAGTTGAACATCAGTTTTCATGTTATCCTCATGCTATGATTTAAATTTAGCTAAATTTACGTTTTTGTCAGTTTAACCATAAGTGATATTTTACAAGTTCAGCCTGTATTGCTGTGACAAAAAAGGTGTGCTTTTTTGCATTAATCAATTATATTTCCGCCAATACCAATAAATTGTAGCTTGTACATGTCAGCAGATTTTACTGGCCAACCAATATATTTATCTGGTTCTAGCATGCCCTTTAGACGTAAGACATTTCAGATATTCTTTTGGTAGATTCAGTATTTACACACATTTTCTAAGCGCAGGAAACACCCTGGATAGGTCGCCAGTCCATCATGGGGCTCAATAAATTTCTCGAGTTCTTGCTATGGCAGCAATAACTAAATTTTACCTCACATTAATGCAGACTTCTAAATGTAAACCAATATTGAGATATTCTTCTAACTTAAAATTCAATATTTTGGTTTTATTTTTGGATAAATCCATACTGTCTTGGTTATAGATACATTAATGGAATACATAAATGGGACAGTTAAACTCATAGCTGCATAGTTCAAGTGGATGTTTCAAACATTATCCTTTTTGCATCACAGCACATCAGAATTGATTGTTGTGCTGACTTGGAGCCCTTGACTACTTGCTTCTCAGAAGATTAAACTTGTTTTAAGAAAATGATACTTGAAAACTTTAATGAGTTTATTTATATAGCACTTTTCTCAACACCAAAACAAGAACAAAAATTTACATGGAAAATTACAAAAACAGCAAGATAAAAGTACAGAAGCAAACAGAAGGCGACATTAATGATACAGTATCGAGAAGTACACAAGTCCATGGATGGGTTCTGAAGATTATGAAAATTAGCTTGTATTGAAACGCTTGGGGATGGGTAACCAGAGCAGTGTGTAGAGAATGGCTGCTTGGTGGGCAGTGTTTAATGTGTGTGATTACTCAAGCATCTGAGTTTTAAATATGTTGTAGTGTGGATGCACTGCGGATAGGGCTGCCCACTGCTCCGGGCAAGCGTGCTCACTGCCCACTAGTGTGTGTGTGTGTGTGTTCACTAGTGTGTTTTTCACTGCATGGATGGGTTAAATGTGGAGGTGAAATTTCCCTGTTGTGGGACTAATGAGGGTCTCTTAATCTTAATAAGCAAAATCAATGGGGGGGGGATCGCCAAGTAGTGTAATGGTACATTCAGAAAGTATTCACACTCCTTGGCTTTTTTGATTTTGTCACATTACTGCCTTACTCTAAAATGGATTAATTTTCTCATCAATCTGCAAAAAATATTGCCAAAATAAAAACAGTGGTACAGCAATGCTCCTGACAGAGCATAAGAAGTTCTGTAAAGAGGAATGGGAGAAGCTTCACAAACCCAAACATACCAAGCTTGTGGCCTCATACCCAAGAATATTTAAGGTGTCTTAATCCTCATAAATATGACATTTTAGTAATGTTTAATAAACTTATAAAACTTTGAAACCTTGTTTATGCTTTTTACTATGGAGGTTTTTGCTGATGAAAAAAAATTAATTTCATTTTGGAGTATGGCTGTGACATAAAATGAGGTAAGAGCAAAGAGGTCTGAATGTTTAATGTTTTGTGTTGTCTGTCTGTGAAGTAGTAAGTAAACCAGGAAAGGGCAGTATGAGCCATGTCAATAGCAGAGAAGTGGGCACTGATTTCAATGAAAGCAAAGCTGAGGTCTACTAAAGTACTACTAAGGATACAAAGTCAGGAAGGCAGTCAGAAAAACAGGAGAGCAGTCCCAGTGCTGTGGAGTGAACAGACACCAGATTGGAAGTGTTCAAATGGATTATTTGATGGAACTGTATTTGGGCGGCAACAACCTTTTTCCAGCAATTAATTTAACAATAAAAGCGATGTTTGAGATTGACGGTAGCCAGGAGCCGTATTCTAGAAACTTCCAATCTTTATTCCTAAGTTAACATCTTTTCAAGTTAAGACTTTTAACATTCATTTTACACATGCACAACAACATCAACACAGATAATGACAGGGAATTGTTGAGTGCATGTCTGCAGGGTCCAATATTTTTTGAAATGCAGAAGTGGGGAAAAAAAAGCTCTCACAATTTGAGTAAATGTAACACCTTTATGCTAGATAATGCAAGTGAACTTTTTTGCTACCCTACAAATACCACTAACAGTAGCAACAGAAGCTTAAAAAAGATATTAGGACACCATTAAGATAATTCAGTTCAGCTCCTTCTGTATTACTGTTTCCTTTCTGGAGACACAACAATGGAAATGTCATTCTCATAATAGCTACTGTCCTACTTTTACAAAGCCTGTTATCTCTTCACCACCAAAACAGAACAGAATATTCAGAGAGAAAAATATTCAGAGAGAAACACAGGTCTCTTGAGACTCCATGATCCCATAAGTAGCATCTGAAATGTTACAGAACCAAATCTTTTCCAGCAGGGTTCTGGAACATTAGAGGTGAAATTGTGAACAACAATCATGTAACATCTGTGTGAATGTGTTGGTGCCTTTGGAGATGACTGTGTAAAGTAAAACACTTCCCACAGTCTGAACAGCAAAAGGGTTTCTCTTCTATGTGAATGCTCTGGTGCCTTTGGAGATGACTCTTCAGAGTAAAAATCTTTCCAGATTCGGAGCAGTGGTATGGATTCTCTCCTGTGTGAATAAGCCAGTGTCTTTGCAGATTGCACCCGTCAAAAAACCTCTTTCCACACTCTAAGCAGCAGAAAATTCTTTTTTTCTGCCTTTGTGAGATGTATGGAGGGCACCAGCTGATGTTTGCTGAACACAAGAGCTGCTTCTGGACGCCATATTCCCACATTCAATCGTTCCTTATTTCAGCAGTGTGACCAATTCCTCTTGCTGGTATGTCCTGATGTGTTTGGGGAAATAAATTTAAATCACATAGAAAAACTGACTCTAGGAGCAGGAGAACTCTTTCAAATGGAGGTCATTTCTTTCTGGAAAACAAAAACATTGCAAAATTCAATATCAAATGCAACAAGTGTAACAAAAATGGTTTGATCTGAAATTGAAGTGTCATAGGGAAAGAGCATATTGGCTGTGGAGGTTACAAGACAGTTTTACAGACAAATATGAAGCCTAATTATGGCAAATAATAATCACCCTGCTCATAAACCATCGCATTGCAAAACGGTCTATGACAGTGTGCTCATGGAGAATGGACATGCTATTAATTATGCTGTTTAATGCAACTGTGTTGAACACCAAAGATTGCAAGCAATCAGCATCAATCAACATCTCACTCGAACACTCCTTCCTCCCAGCTTATGTTACTAGGAAGATGTGCAACAAAATGATTAAAGTCAATTTCTTTTGACACCAATTTGTGAACACAGTATTGTGAATCAAACCAAATCATGGGCTGAGTGCAAGGCAATAGAACCCTTGGTAACCCCTGTTAGTTTGTCTAGTTACAGCTGCCTCTGAATGCTTAAAGACTCCCTTCACACAAAAATGCGTTTTAAATGGTTAGCTCCTCTTAGATGGAGTATTATGATTACATAAACTGATACTTGTACAGAAAGCAATCACAGCTGACTAAATGTTTGAGATATTTGAACTACACTCAACAGTTACCTAAAATAGATCAATCATGGTGGTATTTAAAATTATGACCGTGTCAAATTTATATTCAGCATTTTGGTGTGTAGAAATGTAACAGGTGCAGGTAGCAGTAGCTTAGCATGTGTGTGTACAGAATAAAGGTTCAAACATGATGTGTCACAGAATATAGACCCAGTTTTTAAAGCACTATGAAGCCCCACAAAATTCTTATCCACAGACAGTTTACAAGTTCTGTATTATTTGTTAAATTTCTCTACACTTCAAATTTTGTTGTTAAGCTATAGTAAAAATTGTAGGTCTTGCGATTTCAAAAACTGCTCTCTTTCAAATTGCGATTTACTGATACTTATTACCGATATATGTTGGTTTAAATGCTGTTTAGCATTTCGGAGGAAATGGTGACCTTTGATATTTTTGGTGGGCTTTATTGCTGGAAACTAATGAAGCAATCTGGCCGGAATACATCTGGCAGACCTGTGTTTTTTTTTTTATCTCAAAAAATTCTTAGCCGAGCATGACAAACAAACAAAGTCTGCATGAAAACTCACCTCACCTCAGTAAAAATGCATTAGCGGGTATATAATTTTGCAAACCATTAAAAATACATTATTATATCACTTAATAGAGCCACATGAAGGCCAAAGTATCTCCCACATTTCTGCCAAATGCAGGTAAATGTTGCCGAGAGATTTACCTCATCCGCCAGATTCGTGCATTGTGCAAATGTTAAAGTTACTGAGTGCTTACATAGACTGCTCCATGTGGGACTACAGGGCTTTAATGCTACACAATGAGCGGCCATTGTTATAATTTCATTTAGTAAACTTCATGGTAACCTGCCATACACCATGAATGACTTATTTTGAAATAAAGCCTAAAAATTCTGCACTAAGCATGTGACAAAGAGGTGTGTTGTCTTCTACAAATTAGCATATGTTGAATATGAGTTTTGACCAGTAAGAAGTCAGTTTTTGATATCTGAAATTGAATTCATAACTTAGTCAGAAAACCAGTTTGACTAGTCATAGTTATCCATCAATGAGTGACGTTTACATAATGGAGATCTGTAATGTTTACTGTTACTAGTAAAATGTTGATATCTGTAATAATGTTAAACAATATCATTTTCACTAGTTAAAATTAAATTACAGATATCTATAATTCTTATTCCTACTAGAAAGGATTACATTTTGACTAGTCAGAATAATGTTTTACTGTTATGATAACGCTGGCGTCATTTTAGGCTAAAACTGATTGCCACAATTCCACTAGTCAGAGGCAACAATTACCAGAATAAATATGGATACAATTTTTAGCATATATCGTTGTTAATAATCAACAAATCGCTCAGCGTGAAACCCAACAAGACAAAATATTCTCATCATCCAAAACACCAGTGGAAGAGCAAGAATCAAGTCGCAGGTGGGAGTTTTACTTACTCAAAAGTGTTCTGAGGGCAGAATGAAAAATGATTGGTTCAGAGAGATAACTAATCAAATTGTGGGGGGGGGCAAAGGTAAAAAGGTAAAAATGTTTTTCAGTTTTATTTATTTATTATGTGGCTTTTTCTTGTTGAGCTAGCTTGAACCAAGTAAGTGCACCTTTATTAGGCTAGCTAGCTAGCTGGGTTAGCTACTTAACCTCAAAGTTAACAGTAGTTTCAGTTAATGTCAGCTAGCAATTTGAATTATGTCAGTTTGCCAACAAAATTTAAAGACGGATATAACCTAACGAGCGTGATTTGATGGAGAATCAACAAATAAAGCTTGCATTTGAGAGCTTAGCTAGCTAGCTAGCTAGATTAGCCATTTATAATTGCAGTCAAAAATCCCATAGTGTTGACTTGTTAATAGTTATGTTAGCTGTTTTTGTTTATGCATTAGCATGCTTGGCAGCCTTACATTTTTTGGGAGTGAGCTGTTTGAGTTTCGTTTATTGTACCACAGCATAGCCAGATAGCTAGCTCATTAGGATATTTGCAGAGACAGAAATGCTGCTCTTGGGGCAAGGGAACTATGCTTTTGAGATAAATCACACTTACTTAAGCATTGTCTTAAAGAACACTTTACTTCAGTTCATTGTATTCAGTGTAAATACGCTATAAGGGCAAGAGAAATGTAGTATAGCCAAATATCATGCTCCACAAAGTTTCGTTTGATATTTGAATAGTGTAAACAGGGCACAAGAAATGTACTCTGTAGGTGTCCACTAGTGTACTGTTAACAGGGCAATGCTTATATGGTGTACTTCTGCTCATAGGGCAGGAGAAATGTACTGTGTAGTGTAGTTCTGCTCTTAAGGCAGGAGAAATGTACTGTGTAGTGTAGTTCTGCTCATAGGGAAGAATAAATGTACTGTGTAGTGTGGTTCTGCTCTTAAGGCAGGAGAAATGTACTGTGTAGTGTAGTTCTGCTCTTAGGGCAGAATAAATGTACTATGCAGTGTAGTTCTGCTTTCAAGGCAGGAGAAATGTACTGCAGGCATGATATTGCTCTTGGGTCAAGAGAAGTCTAATGTGTTTAGAATAGAGCTTTGCATGCAACCCTAATTTTGTTTTATTTCCCTTGTTTAGGGAAAATGGAGAATATTTGGATTGAAGGTGTCAGACCAAAGCTGAAGAAAGTTACAGATCCTAAGATCATCCAAGAAGTTGTTGTTTTTGAGGAGAAGGACTTTATGCAGTCTTATATGAAGAATTTGGAAGAGGAAACTTGCAGTATTTTTTAAATCTCCTGTATGTACTCGCAAGGACTACTACTACTATGCCTGTGAGAGATCCGGCAAAGCAACTGGAAATAGCAAAGGAAAACCAACAAAAAACAGGGCTAATTCTTGCAGGGCCTGTGTTTTTCGGTATAATCAATGATGCTGGATTTACAGGTGCTGTGGTGCACAAAATGTTAAAACACAATGGACATGATGCTGGCATTCAAGAAGAGGGTGTAAAAAATCGTGTTGATCCAGAGCTACTGGCTTTCATTGACATGTGGCTTGAACAAAGGCTGTCAGTCTCTGAAACACTTCTGAAAAGTGTTGATTGGGCAGAACGACACGGACATATGAACAAACACAATCGTTGATTCTACAAACCGGATTCCAAAAAAGTTGGGATACTAAACAAATTGTGAATAAAAACTGAATGCAATGATGTGGAGGTGCCAACATCTAATATTTTATTCAGAATAGAACACAAATCACAGATCAAAAGTTTAAACTGAGAGAATGTATCATTTTAAGGGAAAAATATGTTTCAAAATTTCATGGCGTCAACAAATCCCAAAAAAGTTGGGACAAGTAGCAATAAGTGGCTGGAAAAAGGAAATTGAGCATATAACGAACAGCTGGAAGACCAATTAATACTAATTAGGTCAATTGACAACATGATTGGGTATAAAAAGAGCTTCTCAGAGTGTCAGTGTCTCTCTGAAGCCAAGATGGTAAGAGGATCACCAATTCCACCATTGTTGCGCAGAAAGATAGTGCAGCAATACCAGAATGGTGTTACCCGGCGTAAAATAGCAAAGACTTTTAAGTTATCATCAACCATGCATAACATCATCAAAAGATTCAAAGAATCTGGAACAATCGCTGTGCGTAAGGGTCAAGGCCGTAAAACTCTACTGGATGCTCGTGATCTCCGGGCCCTTAAACGTCACTGCACCTCAAACAGGAATGCCACTGTCAAGGAAATAACAGAATGGGCTCAGGAATACTTCCAGAAAGCATTGTCAGTGAACACAATCCACCGTGCCATCCGCCGTTGCCAGCTGAAACTCTACAGTGCAAAGAGGAAGCCATTTCTAAGCAAGCTCCACAAGCTCAGACGTTTGCACTGGGCCAGGGGTCTTTTAAAATGGAGTGTGGCAAAATGGAAGACTGTTCTGTGGTCAGATGAGTCACGATTTGAAGTTCTTTATGGAACACTGGGACGCCATGTCATCCGGACTAGAGAGGACAAGGATAACCCAAGTTGTTATCAACGCTCCGTTCAGAAGCCTGCATCACTGATGGTATGGGATTGCATGAGTGCTTGTGGCATGGGCAGCTTGCATGTCTGGAAAGGCACCATTAATGCAGAGAACTATGTTCAGGTTCTAGAACAACATATGCTCCCATCTAGATGTCATCTCTTTCAGGGAAGACCCTGCATTTTTCAACAAGATAATGCCAGACCACATTCTGCAGCAATCACAACATCATGGCTACATAGGAGAAGGATCCGGGTACTGAAATGGCCAGCCTGCAGTCCAGATCTTTCACCTATAGAGAACATTTGGCGCATCATAAAGAGGAAGGTGCGACAAAGAAGGCCCAAGACGATTGAACAGTTAGAGGCCTGTATTAGACATGAATGGGAGAGCATTCCTATTTCTAAACTTGAGAAACTGGTCTCCTCTGTCCCCAGACATCTGTTGAGTGTTGTAAGAAGAAGGGGGGATGCCACACAGTGGTAAAAATGGCCTTGTCCCAAATTTTTTGGGATTTGTTGACGCCATGAAATTTTGAAACAACATATTTTTCCCTTAAAATGATACATTCTCTCAGTTTAAACTTTTGATCTGTGATTTGTGTTCTATTCTGAATAAAATATTAGATGTTGGCACCTCCACATCATTGCATTCAGTTTTTATTCACAATTTGTTTAGTGTCCCAACTTTTTTGGAATCCGGTTTGTATGTTACACCAGAGGATATAAGAACAATCAAAAAGAACACCAATGCCCTCATTTTTCATGATGTGAAAGACTGTGTCAGTGTTGACATTCTAGCCACATCAGAGCTAAAGAAAAACATTTGTTTTTACCAGCCTTTAAGTGATTAAAAACCCTTGATAACTGTAGTACAGACACCCTGGCAAAAGCAGCTCCTAAAAGAATATCTACATCCCATGATGTTCATGGACGCCACCTACAAAAGCATGACCTCATATGGCTATGCATTCTATGCACTTCTTCTGACTAATAGTATTGGAAGAGGGATTCCATTTACATACTTCATCATCAGTCAGGAATCAACAGCCACACACTCTCTCTGCCTGGAAAAGCTTTCTAGCTGTAATCCTGGCTTTCTTCCCAGGTCAGTACGCTAATAATCTTATTCTGATTTTACACTATGGACTATGTATGACGAGAGATGTTTTTGTATACGCCTATGTACTAAAACTTCTCTTGAATCCTGCTGCTGGTGTGTGCGGGTGTGGCAGATATATTTTGGGTATTTTTGTGATCTGTGGTACAAGTGGTAACTCTGCCTTTAGGCCTGGTTAGACGTGCTACACAAAAACAAACCTAACAGGAATAAGGTCATATTTTCTGCTATATTCAGTATGGAGATTCAATGCCATTTTGTCTTTCCACTTTCACTAAAGTATTTAGTTTGATCTTCATGCTGGTATAAATCCGTTGGGGAAACTACCTCAATAAGGGATGTGATGAATAAGTAGAAGGATAGACATTTAATAACTTTATATAATTCAACAAATGATCAAAGTACAGTAAATACATCCTGAAAATTATTTGTGACACAGCAGGTTAGTGCTTCTTTCTTTTTACCACAATTGGCCAGAAGTAAAAACAGCCAGAAATGAGTATGTATGAGGTAACTGAAAAGCCTGCTTTTGAAAGGGGTTTCGAGATGCATCTTCGCTTCAGAAACCACTTTGTTTTAGCTTGCAGTAGTGACACAGAATCACTGGTGTGGGTGATTTTATGGAAAAATTTTTCCAAAATCACACAATTTATTACTGTTTTATTTTTTATTTTTTGAAAACCATTCCATTATTTTGTATTATTATTCCACTACTTAAATGTATTATTTGTTTATGATAATTATTTAAATTGTTTTTTTTTTTATATTTTATTTTGTTATCGATGAACAAGGGCACATTGCATCCTTGATACAAAGCATCACTGTTTTTCCCTGTTGTCTTTTCCACAACCTGAATGTTCACTGTAGTCAAGTCCATGTAGTGCTTTACATCCAAAAACAAAAACATGGAATCTTTAACATTCACATATTTGACCTTATTGGAATGAGTAATAAATGCTATGATGAGTTTAGATTTCCATATATTCTAATAACCTCCCCCACCACCTACATAGTGGTACCCCCCAGATTTTTTAGAGCTGTGGGAATCATTGGTTTAGCTTATGCAGTCTAAAGTATATACAGGAAAATGTTCATACCATTTAGAATAATCACATACATGTCGCTAATATGATCTAACTCTTCTGATTTCCTCTAACATGTAGGCTGTACATAGGTGGTTGGTAAAAAGGGATGGAGAGAACCTGCCAGTGGAGCAGAGAAACGTGGTGATTCAAGCAATGGTGGCAATGAAGATGTGCTTAACGGTAAGACTCTATCACATACATACAATAGATAGGGAAATAAGTCCCCAAGGTAATGTGCACCCCACCTCCCCCCACTTTTTTTGTCTCCTCGCCAAATTATGGGGCCAATTTTAATTTTGACACATACTATTGACTGAATGGCTATGGTTGAATTAATTCTGAAATTTTATGAATCACTGCATTCTTGAAATTTATTCCCCTGGAGCCTTATTTTGGGGTCAGCTGTTAATTTTTTGTCATTTGAAAAATAGTTATTTGTGCATTTATATGAAATTGTAAAAGAAAAAATTACAAATATGATATCTTGAGTTTTGCATATCATGTTAATTGTTTACAATTACCAGTTAAATGATATGTGTTGAGGTTACTATAATTGTTGGTAACAATAATAATAATAATATGTAACAATAAATTTACACATGATTATGTAATTAATTTCATCATAAAAATATTTAATTATCAAAATTGGCATCAGGTGTTTCTGTTTTATTGTCATTTGTCTTGTCATTGCGTATTAAAATAAAGTGGAATAATTGATGTAAATTGATAAACATCTCAATTTTATTTTCATATATAATATTTGTAGTGTTGTAATTTTATTAATATTAATTTTTGAAAATGCAAAGACTTGAATTGATTTGACAATTTATACTTTCTGTAAAACTTAGAAGACAAATTGATTCAAAACTCACTAAGGGGGCTTCAGACGCTGATAGTGGGGGCAAGAGCCCCCTTTTAAAGATTTTCTTTTTTGTGCTATAAAAACAGCATTGTCTGCTGTTCTCACTTTTTCCAGTATTTCCTCTAATTGGGTACAGGCTTGTGTCCTCATCCTGTGCATGCTAAACTTTACACTCTTTATTCTCAGATTTATTAAGCTGAAATTGTCTTTGTCATTTTGGCTTTCTACTCAGATGTTTAGCTTTTTTTTAAAACTGTTTTGTAAGGTTGTAAAAATGTTCATTTAAAGTTTTTGTGTTTTTCAGGAAGAAGAGTTTAATAACACTTCTGTCACAAAGTGCAAAGAGCTGGATTCCTACCTTGGTAGTTCACATGTATCTACCTACTTGAAGAGTCAGTGGATTTCTTGTGGGGAGCTGTGGTCCAGTTTCGGGAGGTCATTCAATCATGAAAACAGTGAGACGAACAACAAGGCAGAGAGGTACAAGATTGTATATAGGCCTGTTTCTTATAAGAAACAACATGCCTTCTTCTTATCACTGAAACTGGTGGAGGCTGCATTCACATTTCCATGTGCAAATCAACATTTGTTTTTATAATGAAATCAATATGCACACCCATACTTAAAAACACAAAATAACAGCTATAACTATTTTTAGGAATTGTATTGCCTGTAGTGCATATTCTGCATTCCCATGGAGTGTTAAGCCCATCTAGGCACTTTTTAAAACTTGCAATTCCATGTTCTCTGTCTGAAACATTCTGCTTTTAGAAAATCTAAATGTTATTGGTCATAATTCTTAAAATATAACTGACATTATATTTCAGAAATATTAATGAAATATCAATTCCTAAAAGGGAACACTAACAGGCGGGTCGCTTGCTGTGTGGGGATGTTCAGAAATATTACTATATTACTGGTAAATACACTATTTATTGTAGCATTCACTATTGTCCTGAAAAAAAAAAAAAAACACAAAGATTGTTCTTTGACTTATTATTAATTATTTCCTACTACTTTGACTGATTTCCATTTGTACTGACTGATTCTGTTTTTTATTTATTTTATTTTAAGCTACATGGATGACCTGGCAGACATTGGACAAATCAAGGGAATCAACACTGATGACTTCTCTAATGCTGTCAAGTCTATGATTGAGAAAGGACTAGATTTAAAATTTAAAATGAATGAAACTGGAACATGTTTTGTTCCACCTGATACGAGTGCACAGTCTCACACAGTTGATTTGGTGATGGTCAAATGTGACTGCAGAAGATCTAAAAGCGGTTTTGTATGCAAACATGTCGTTTTCTCAAGAGTAGTTGCACAACAGCAAGGAGCAGACATTCAGGAACTCAGGATTGCTGCTGCTAGTAAAATCATTGATAGTCTTTCATACATCTCAGATGATGAAAGCCTCACAGTCTTTCACAGTGATGGGAGTGTAGGAATTATAAATTACAAAAGTCCAAAATTTTGTACATGCATAGCAAATAGTCATAGTGAAGAATGTGTCTATACTTTGGTTCACAACATCCTCTACCTACCTCTGACACCTTGCAAGTTGGTCTCAACTAAAGAGGATAGGGGCCAACACTTCCAATTTTGGTGTCCCTTTGCAGTCCACCAGACTTCATGGTTTGTAAGACTGCATCGGTAAAGAAGGTGTAAGCTTTTGTGCCTTCTTAAGTTTTAACAATTACTATACATTTATCTCATACACCAAGCATACACCAAACTTTTGAAATGTTATATGGTATGTTATTAAAAGGCACGTGCACATGAAGAAAAGGTTCATGCTTACCATTCATTTTCCTTTGTGACAGCTGAAAGTTCTTTGAAGACATAAATAAAGGAAAGGATTGACAGTGTAAAACACGGTTTTCAATGTAGTTTTTAAGGAATCATTGTAGGAAAATGTCACACTATTTCCTTAAACATATTATGACACAACCAATATGTTATATTTGAGGACAAATGTTAACAAGGTGTTAATTTATATACATAGTAGTTGGTATCAGCTCAGACATCATAAGAATTAATGGTCTAAGTACTATGCAGACGATATGAATGTATCACTAAGAATCCGCAATGCATCAAGGAGAATGGACATTTTATTTATGCCGTCTAATGCAACTACACTGGTTAAACACCAAAGCTTTTAAGCAGTCAGCACCAATCATCACCTTGCTCCAGCACTCCTCCTGCGTCCCAGCTCTAGTGTTATTTGAAAGTTGTGCAACAACATAAACATAGTCCTAAGTTTTCAAATTCTAAAATATAAAAATATAAGAATCCTGAACCTTGACTGGGTATCATGAATTGAATCAAATCGTGGGTTGAGTGTATCAGTCCACTCCTATTGCCAGCAGTCCTTCCATAAGAGAAACATTACACTCTATGTAGGAGGTTGATAGGCTACTAGCAGAGCAAAATATGCAAATATATTTACTGTACTCCCCAGTATCCTGCCCCAAGATGAGCATTACTCTTTAAACTGTATCATAAATCTTAACTTTAGGAAGTATTACAGGTGACAGGAGTAGAGCTTGTGTCCCAAGAGCAGCTTTACCCTGTATACAGAACACTAATAATAACTTCATGACTTAACTTAATTGGATCATAAGTTCAATGTGCTTCATTTTACTGGAGTTAAGCCAGCTGCCTTTCACCAAAACACAGTTAAACTATAGCTGCACATAACAAGTTATTTTTACTATACACTTAGTGGTAAAAGTCACAGCACATGCAGACTTCAGAAAAAAGCCCTTAGTTCATATCAGAAGTCAAATTCACCACTTTTTAAAATAATAATGAATTCAACTAAGTAATTCATAAAACCAACACATAAGTTCAGTTTAACGAAATATGTACATATGATTATTGAAGTGATTCTACTGTATTTTTAAGTAATTGGCAGCCCCAATCCCTACATTTCTCAAGTTTTTTTAATGAATAGTCAAAGTTAAAATATTATAAAATAGTATTTCTAAAAAGTAATCCATAAAACCAACAGATATCAGTTTGGAGTTTAATATTCTATGTACATAGAAATTATTAAGTGATTCTTCTATAGAATCTTTAAGTAATTGGCAGCTCAAATCTCCACAATTGTTTGTATATTTTAATTGTAAGTAAAACTAAAAACATTATAAAATGATCATTTCTAATAAGTAGTCCATAAAACCAACAGATATCAGTTCAGTGTTTAATATATTATGGATATTTGAAACTTAACTTGTATCCTTAGCCTTGCTGCGCTTATTTGTATCATGACTAATCTCTGATATCCTCATTTGTCAGATGCTGCACTTTCATGGTCAAAAAGCATGGTAGTCCTACCATCAACCTACACATCATGTTACCTTCCTGCTAACCAGAGTTCTCTTATTTGATTAATTCTTCTTTTCATTTTCACCAGGATGTCCTTCTTCACCAGTATCTGCTTTGGTGATTGCAGCACCAGCTAACAAGGGAGTCCTTTAGTTAGTGTAGAAGCCTTTCTCCCAAATGCATTCGTATGCAGTATTTCTCCACTATCCAGAGGTCTATCTGCAAACCAAGATGATTGACTCAGCCACCCATTTCAGCAGCAGAAGATGACTCGGAGTTGCCAATCCAGCAATTCTGATTCAGAAAATGCTACCAGCATTACAACTACAGGTAGGATTGTTTAATAGCCCAAACCACCTTATCAGAAAGTGTTACCAGTATTAAAAGAATAATCAGAAAATTTTGATGGCATAAATCAGCTTATCAGGGAGTAAGAGGCAATATTAAGACTGGTCCGTATGCTAGACTTGAAGTAAGCCAGAATTAACATGAGAAACACAAGTTATTACGCTGTAGTAACGTTATGCGCATGCTTGGTAGTACCACTCAATGGGTAGGACAAATTAGAACACTGTCAGAACACTGGCTATTAGGCTTTGTAATGCTGCATGGGAGTCTGAGCAGACTACTGTTAACGTTGGCTGCACTTCCTCTACCCCAACAAACAATATGGCTGCCAATTCAGCTGAGAATACTGCAATGTTGTCTGATCCTCTCTTTTTAATTTCGGTTTTAAACTGTAGGATATACACAGCAACTCCTAACCACCCTGACACAGGGTCTTTCAGTGCACCTGTAAATATATCTGGAGCTCATACTTATATCTTTGTTCTATATAAAGTCTCACCATCTGTCCTTTTCATACAAGTTCTTTCTTATTCCTTATGTCACTATGCAATTGTAAATCTACGATGGGAGTTGGAAAAAGCCATGGAGGAATTGTTGAAAGAACTGCGGTGCCACATATTGTTTATTCATTATATACATACTAAAACCAGTGCAGACAAAAAGTAAAAATACCAAAGGAAATACTAAAACTGAAATAAATTAAATATACACAAAATATACACAAAATATGCAGAGACAGGAGGAACGTATGAGAAAAACTGCTATGCACAAATATATTAAGCAAGGGATAATCTGAGAATAGTTTATATACATTTTAAATTAACTAGAACATAGGTCTAGTTCTAGTTCTAGAACATAGTTTAGCCTGTTTACCATCAATCTTTCCATTAATTTACATAAATTTGATGTCTAGGCAACAGGTGTGTAATGACAGGCTTCTAACTTGTCTTTACCTGGATCTCCAACAGGGACTACAACTCTGTACTTCCTAGAAGCTGGCAGTCTCCCTTCCTCCCATATCTTATTAAACAACTCTAAAACATACTGAGGCACCCTGGCTGACAGATGTTTTATCATTTCATAACAAACTTCATCTTTTCCAGACAATGTTTGCTTTACATTTGCTAATGCTTGTTTTAGCTTATTCATAGTAAAGGCCATATCTAAAAGGTGACTGGTTGACATTCTCCACTTTACGATATCTTGATTTTCTTCTATTTTCTTCTTTTCCTATTGAATCATGCTTCTTCTGTTAAATTACTAATGTACCATAAATTCCTCGGCTAAAATTTTACGGTTGTTGGATTAGGCTTAGCCCTATTTGGATGGATATAAATTTACATGGGGTCTAAGTAATGCCCTTTGGAGATTTTGTTTCCATTTTTCCTGTGTTTTTCTCCCTCCTCCCCTAGAACATTACACCAAATTACCCGAATTACTACTGTTTTTCACCACTCACTCACCAGTCGGCTAATAAAATTTTAATCTGAGATTTTGTTTGGTTTTCCAGGCACATGTTGAAAATTAGAAAAAGATTTTTATTCCCTGTATTTAGTCTCCTAGTGAGCGTGTATTTTAAACATTTTTTGGATGGCGAAACGTGGATACCTCAGAAGTCTTTCAACCATTAATTTGGTCTGGTGGTAGTGGAATTTCAAGTGGTTCTACTACATGTATAAAGCACTTTATATTCATATGCACTTACAAAAAAACAAATAGAGCATAATAATATGACCTTGTGTAATGCAAGCATTCTGGTTTGTAAAAAATTTGCACCCCCTGTAGTAATTTTATTGTAGTATTTTTTTTTTAACGGATGTCCCTCTGACAATCTAATCCAATCCAAATAGAGCTTGTTATGACCCGGTCCAGGGTCTGGCTGTAACAGAAAATGAGAGTGAGCTACCTCCCCAGGCCTGTTACTGGACCAAACACTGCACACCATTTAACCAGAAAACAGCTCAGGTTTATTGAGATGTTCTTAAAAGTCTCAATGGTAAGATGGTGGTTATAGGATAGTGGCTTCAGCATATGAGCATATGCCTAAAATAACAAACAAAACAACTAGGTTTTAAAAAACTAACTAAATGTAAAAAAAGTAAAACAAAACTATGAAAGGAGGAACAGGAAAAAAGAAACAGGAGAAGAGAAGTTTGTTATGAAAACAAATGGCGCTAGTCTCCTACTTTTCCCAAATGTTCCCACATAGTTTTTCACAGAATTTAACTAAGCTGTCACGAAATTGAATCAAAGAGTTGAGTGAGGAGTGCCAGGCTGGTCTAGACAGGTGTACTTAAAAGTCAGACAGTCAGCTATATATTTCCCAAAGACTGTTAAGAAATGTTCAAACAGTAAAACATTTAACAGCAAGCAGAAGACCATCCTTGATCACAGAACCATTCACCACGTGAATCCTCTAGTATTTGTTTCAATGCTTTTATATTTGGTTTTCTTTTATTGTGTTCTGGTTAATCATCTGAAAATCCAGTGCATTCATGAAAGCAGAGTTTGGTGGACTCTGCAACAGCTATCAGGATACTCAAGAGGTGCCCTTCTCAAATCAATTAACAAACGCTGTCCAACTTTTACCCTTAGAACTGTAAAGCCACTATACAGTTTTTATTACAATTAGTTTAACAACATTCTATGTGAATTAAACCATGAACAATGTTTTCCCTGCTTGAGTACAGAATGCTTTAAATGAAACACTTTACAGAATTCTGTCATTAACTTCTCATTCAGTCTCAGGCTTTAGCAAAACTGTATACTTTTATAGCTCAATTTGCAAATGCTTTTATACGCTGTTACAAAACTGTTACACTTAACTCCAGAACCTAACATGAAAACTGCATGAGTTTTTACAGTCACATAAGATTCTGAACAATAGTCAAAGCCCAACGATTGTAACGGTGGTTGAGACAAACTGCTGACTGAATGTTTGTAAATAGGCTAATCACAGCTGATTCCCATCTAAGCTGAAATTATACCTTGGTGTTGATCCTCTATAAAAAAAGGGATGAATTCTGGAATTATGGCAGCACGATGTATACATAAGGGAGGACTTGTGGCCAAATGATAAAGACCACGTAGACTAAACATTTACTATTGTTGTGACCTGTGTTTTATTATTCTTTGCTACATTATAAATACATAA